AGCTACCTTGACTAGCACGATTCCGTGCATTTTTTTGTGGACGGAGGGGTACAAGGCATGCATTTATCGTTATTAGTTTTGTGATTCCATCGTATAATTTGATCTAATTCTTAGTTTCTTTATTAAGTTATTTCATTGACATACTCAATTTTGATACGAATCAATGCAAGAACATGTAGGTTAACTCATACACACAACAAATTTTAAGAAAACTCCCGTAGCAACGCGCGAGGTATGCTTATAGTTAAACTAGTTGTTATGGAATTTTGTCAAATTTATATATAACCTTAGCATTCATAGTATTTTTCACCTATTTGTTGGACCTTTTAAACTTTTCTATTCATATATAAGGGCAATCAAAGTGTATAATGCCTCCTTGAACCTTGAGGTGCACCCCAAGTATGGAAATGTCTCTCTTCGTTGTATATGAGGCCATTATCCGCATTAGACTAGGTTCCATGATGAAGTTAAAAAAAATTCCATTGCCCCTTCTTTGTTCCCGTCAATCCACCGCTTCCATTTTTTTCCTATCGCCTATTGCATCCTCGATCTCACACCATTGTTGCCATCAAATGGTTCGACTCCTTATTAGACCTCAAAGAACACAGTCTTATGGAAGGCGTAAGGCAAGGGCATGGAACCCATGGCGTCGCGGGAGATCCTCTTCCTCGCCATCCATGACTTCTGCTAGTGCAAGAGTCTTCGCCTACTCCTCCTCCTCCTCGACGTTCACCACCATAGCACTAGTGTGTTTGATATTTCTTCCTTGGCGACACCCCCCCTTCCCCCTCCCACTCATTTGACTAGCTTCTGGTGGTTCTAATTGGTGCTAAGGAGAGCCTCTCCTATCTTTCGGTTGGGTCTAGGCGACGATACCTTCAACGATACCTCCTTCACATCATTAGGTATGTCTTCACATAGCTCCATTCACACATTCATATAGCTGAGTTGCCTATTCCTCGAGGCCAACTCTCTAGCTTAAGGTATGTTGTATGGTTTGTTCGCTAAGGTTGCCCTAGGAATACTAAGGCCCTCCACAACATACTATCTAAAACACTGGGGCGTCCGCTGGCAGAGTTGCAACATGAGAAAAACAGAGGATCGAAGCTATCTTAAACACTTGGACTCGCATGAAATAAAATAACACTGCCCTTTCCTCACGTAATTCTCATTGCGTAAACAAAAAAACTCTTCCTCTCATTCCATCTTTCATCTTCGCATAGGCAATACCCAACTCAATCACTCTCTTCCAATAAAACCTTGCTTCTTCCTCGAGATCTTGTTTCGCTTGTTGCAGATGTAGTGACAACCGGTCATCATGCCATGCTCGGGTTACCCAGAGGATAGGAGCTCGACGGCCATGGTTCTGCTAGATTCACAGAAGGCTATTACGCTGGCCAACGATGCTAACGAGGATACCAGTGATGAAAGGTCACGTTTGGATTCACATTGAGTTTGGAGGTCGATGACGCCAACGAGGATACGATAACGAAAGGTCACGCCTGGATTCACGCGGAGTGTAGAGGCCAACGACGCCAATGAGGATACCAACGACGATACGTCGCGCTTGGATTCGTGCTGAGGGCGGAGGCTGACAACACCGATGAGGATGCAAGGACGTGCCCTGATGTGCTCTGAGTACGGAGGTTGCGGGTGCTAAGGATACTGGCGGCGGTTGAGGATGAGCATGAAAAGGACTAATAAAAACATTTTTTATTGATTGGCACCATTGCATGAATTTATGTCGCTCTAGGTTTTCCTGGCATCGCGTAAAATTAATATCGTCGGCCACAATAGGGGGAGTAATGACGAAACCATCTCTTTTTTCTTTAGATGTCACTTGGCGGCTTGGCGCAAATGGCCAAATCCTTATTGCACGAGTGTGCACACGCGACGGGTGTCGACGCACGGACATGCGTTGATGCGGTATTGGAGGCAAGCACGACATCCAATAACGGCACTTCTCTTCCTCTAGTTCCGCCAATCTTGGGAGGGAGGTCTCCAGCCTTAGAAGAAAGAAGCTTAGGGGCAGCGGGCGGCCTGGCGGTGGAGGCGGTTCGACCGGCGTCGAGCGACGCGGCGGGGGCGCCGCCAAGCGGGTAGGAAAAGACAACCGGTGGGCGGGGTCAACGGCGAGGCGGCCAAATGGAAGCTTAGGGGAGGTGGGGCGGGGCAGCGGCAGGCGGTGAGGTTGCCTGCGGTGGCGGGGCAACGAGAGAGATATTCAATTGAGATTAAGGAAGGGCGGAGAAGGAGCGCCAGTGGTGGGCGGCAAGGGCGGTGAGGTCACCAACGAGGTAGCTGTCAACTAGGGCGGCGGTGGAGACCAATGGCGAGCAAGACAGTTGGCGATTTGCACGACGGCAGAAGAAAGAAGAAGAACAATCACTAGAGAAAAAGAAGAAATCACGTGTGCACCTCAGTTAAGAGAGTCGCTCGGATGGTGGAGGGTCTAACCGGCCTTACCTATTTTTTCCCACGCCCTTGGGTGACCTAAGGACCAGGACCTGTGCGCTCGTGCAGGAAGCCAAGAAAGTTAAGGGCATCACAGTCATTTTCTTGCCCCCGACAATAGCGGGCAGTCAGAGTGTTACGGTAATGGCGGCACCATTTTGAAAGGGAAGGAGAGAGAATATCATGAGGGGAGAGAAGGGAGAGATAGAGAGAGAGACTGACTGTTGTAACGGACAGAGAAGCTGAAAGGTGTGTGCTCCCTCCCACCACCCCCACCCCACCACCCTCTCTCTCATCCATCGTCTCCATTATTTTCTCTCTCCCCCCGTTTCCACCTCCCTCCCCCTTTATTCTCTCTCCCCTCCGCAGCTCCTCCTCCCTGTCTGCTTCCCTCCCCTGCTGTGGCACTGCGCTTGGCCGCTTGCCCTCTCCCCTCACCTTCTCCACCTCCCCCCATTCCGCAACCGCACGAGCAGAGTTCCCTCACCAAGAGGAGAAAAAAAAAAAAGAGAGCGAAGGAGGCAAACCAGGCGGCGGGACAGCAACGCGACGTGCTTGCCATTCTCTCAAGGTACACATCAGATGTTTCTCCTCCCCTCTCTTCAACCCGCTCGCTATTGTTCGTGAGATTTTCTTGGCCCCTTCGGGGAAGTGTTCTTGCATCGATAGGTGGTCGCTTTAGCGGTTGTTGGGATCTAGGCGGGCGCCAGAGACCAATACGCGGGGGTGTGGCAATGCGGTTCGTGTGTTTCCGTTGTGTCGGTGGGGCACTGGGGCGACAGCTCGGTGAGATTTCGAGAGATTCGTCCGTGCCAGGGCTTGGATCTACGCTCCGGCCACCTCCAGGCTTCGGTTCGCCGCCCACCAACCGAGCCTGAGAGTCCGCCATTCATTCAAACGCCCTCGACGGCGACCGCGCATCGGTTCAGATCCAGGCGTCCTTTCACCGGCAACTGCGCCTCCCATGCAGTCTTTCTCGTTGTTCTTGTCCCCTCCCTGGACTCGGGTGTACTGGAAGTCCATGCGGATTTTATTTATTTTAATATATTAAAGAGTCTCTTTTGTTGGTATGGACGCCATAGCTTTGGCCCTCAAATCCTATTCTCTGTGGGATAGAATGCGTTTTGTTGCGGAATTTTTTTTGCTGCTTGGCGTACTGCTAATATCGGCTTAGTTTTCCAAATTTTTTGTGAGGTTCAACCAAACCTCCTGCTGACAGATCCTTTTCTGTTCAGTTTGCTTACCCAGCTGACTGTTTTGCCCTGTTCATATTTGAGTTGGATGCTGAGTGGCATGCCAATCGATATTTGGAGAAGTAAATTATTATGTCGGCAAGTGTGAGTGCGAGTTCTTTGCTGAAACTTTAAGCTTCACCTGAGATCTGACATTGTCGTTGCCAATTTGCTGTACATTTGAGGGCACGCTCTTGGGTAAATCATTGGAAAACATATTTCGCTTTGCGTGGGATACGCACTTCTCCACGATGATGCCTTCACCTGTCTCAAACCTTTGTGATTTTTATATATTCGCTTGGTTTTGCTGCTGTGGTGAATGGCTGTATTTGAGGGGAGACAGTCTCCATAAATTCTGCACGTTGTGGGGGTTTGTCTTTAGCTTGATTTAGGAGGAAATGGGCCATTCCTTTATTCTGGTATAGGATTTAGCAGTACGATGTTTAACTGTCTAAACTTGTAATAGTGCTAGTGCCGCGAAACGTTTCCCTCCGCATGTTTTGTTGCGTTACCACCGTGTGGACAAACATGAGATATTGCCTTGAATTCCTGATTAAATTTGGCTTTCAGAAATTATATATATTTTTTCTTATTTCTAGATAACACATAATGACCCTTGATTGCCATATAATTTGTTTCCTGCAATGTGGTGCTGTTGTTTTAGGGAAAATATAATTTCATACGAAGTAGCTATTAATGGACCATTTTTTCTTCCGAGTGCCTCTGCCACAAATAGGATTCCTAAAAAGTAATTGAATTTCTGCAGCAATAGATGTAAGAAATGTGTGCGTCTGTTCTATGAATTTGTTTTCGCCGTACCATATTTAGATGAGAGTTGGCACAGGTTCCAATTTCTCTGTCTTTCTTGGAAGTATTGAGATCAATCTGTGTATTTGTTGCCTCATGCTTTTACTATGCGAGAAAGCTGTCAATTTTATAATAAAAACCCACCATATTGTAGCTGGCGAATTATGACTTGTTAAGTACTTTTCTTCTAGAGCCTTCATCTAAAATCTTATTGCTCATTTCATAGTCTGCTTCATTGTTTGTGGGATTCCTACCATCCCCTGATTTTCTTTTATCTATATGATATTTATGGAAGATGATTTTTTTTCCATGATCCCATAGTACCAGAAGTTCATCTGACTTCAATTGTTTTATTCAATGTATACTTTCAGGAGCTCATGCAAGGTGTAAGTCTTACTGCAAGAAGGGCAGCTGTGCATGTTATTAAGACCCAAATATAGCCTCACTTGATTACACTGCACGGGGGGGTTGAAAACTTGAGATACAGTTGATCTTCTGGTGAAGAGTATGGGTTCAAGGTTTGCATCACATCAGCTGAGCAATGGCCTGTATGTTTCTGGTCGACCTGAGCAGCCTAAGGAGAAGGCCCCAACCATTTGTTCCACTGCGATGCCATATACTGGGGGTGACATCAAGAAATCTGGAGAGCTGGGGAAGATGTTTGATCTCCATGTTGAGAAGTCAAGAAAATCTGGTCCTCTAGGAAATGCTCCATCAAGGAATACTTCATTTGGAGGTGCTGCTTCCAACTCTGGACCCGTCTCCAATGCTGGTGGTCGGTCCAACTACTCTGGTTCTCTTTCATCTTCAGTTCCTGGTGCTGGCGGATCAGCCAGAGCAAAATCAAACTCCGGACCGCTCAATAAGCATGGAGAGCCAACAAAGAGGTCATCTGGTCCCCAGTCTGGAGGAGTGACCCCAATGGCACGCCAGAACTCTGGCCCCCTTCCACCTGTGCTTCCGACAACTGGGCTTATCACATCTGGGCCTATCTCTTCAGGGCCACTTAATTCGTCTGGTGCTCCAAGGAAAGTATCTGGGCCACTTGATTCTGCTGCATCGATGAAAATGCGGGCTACTTCCTTTGCTCACAATCAAGCTGTTACTAATCTCAACACTGAAGATGGTTACTCAATTCAGGGAAGCTTTCCGAAGCCAATACTCTGGGCTGTGATTCTGCTCTTTGTGATGGGTTTCATAGCAGGTGGCTTCATTCTGGGTGCTGTTCACAATGCAATTTTGCTGATAGTTGTTGTGGTGATATTTGGTTTTGTTGCTGCACTTCTTATCTGGAATGCTTGCTGGGGTAGGAGAGGCGCAATTGGGTTTGTTAATCGCTATCCTGATGCTGATCTCAGAACTGCCAAAGATGGACAGTATGTAAAGGTTACAGGGGTATGTACAACGTCGACAAAATTGTTTGATCTGTTTTTACTATTTTCTTCCTTGAATCAGTTCATGTGTGGCGTCTTTATTCATCGTATATGTTCTCTTAATTTTATTTCACTGTCGTAAATAACACTACCCTGAAACGTGATTATTAAAGTTACCCTGAAACATGATTATTAAAGTTTTCATTTTCATTCTGCACCAGTCCTCTTTAAATCCTTGAACGTTGTCTATGTCACATAGTTACCTTTTGTTCTCTTCACTAGCACATAATTTAGCAATATTTCACCATATTGTTGCATTTTGATTTATTATTCCAGGTCAAAATGAACATGGTATATGAAAAGCTTTTAATAACCACAGTTCGACAGCATAATTCTTTCTAAGTTAGGAGAAAACATTCACCCATAAAGATACCCTCAAAGCATGCTTCATTTCCAAACAACACTATTTCTCCTATAATTTAGAATGGCAATGATGAGTGTTTGAATCCACAGGTGGTTACTTGTGGAAATTTCCCCCTCGAATCCTCGTTCCAAAGGGTCCCAAGATGCGTATACACTTCTACTAGCTTATATGAGTACAGGGGTTGGGATTCCAAAGCTGCCAATACTGAGCATCGGCGTTTTACCTGGGGTTTACGCTCAATGGAGGTGAGTATTTTCATGACATGGAATAGCGAATATGTACTTATAATCTTCTCTGGGAACCCAAAACTGCAGTTGTTGAGCTTTAGCAGACCTTGATCTCTGATGTTTCTCCTGCATCTATGGCAGCGACATGCGGTTGATTTCTACATCTCAGATTTTCAGTCTGGGCTTCGAGCATTGGTGAAAACAGGATATGGTGCTCGTGTGACCCCTTATGTCTATGAATCTGTTATAATTGACATCAATCCAGACAACAAGGATATGTCCCCTGAATTTTTGAGATGGCTAAGGGAGAGAAACCTTTCAAGCGATGATCGGACAATGCGCCTAAAAGAAGGGTACTCCTTTTCTCCCTGTTTAGTTTGCAGCTGGAATGCATGACTATAAACTCTTTTCTTTTCTTCTGCCACAATGACAAAATAATATCTGCTAATGGTTACTTGCTACTTGATCTCTACCTGTAGATACATCAAGGAAGGTAGCACTGTGAGTGTGATGGGGGTTGTCCAAAGGAATGACAACGTTCTAATGATTGTTCCTCCATCAGAGCCCATCTCAACTGGTTGTCAGTGGGCCAAGTGCGTTCTCCCAACCAACCTTGACGGGCTTGTTTTAAGATGCGAAGATACTTCGAACATTGATGTGATACCAGTTTAACTGGCGGTGGAAGAGTCGTTTCCAAAGAAAGTGCCTCTTAAATATTTGAGTCTGTATTGTTTCATGGAATGCTAGTTGAGAAAAATGTGCAAATGTTGGGTGTGATTATGGCAGGTTGAGGGTGGTTGGTTAAGCTGGCCGTTGGATGTATAGTTTTTTTTTCTTTTAATTGTGTTTTGTCATTTCTTTTTCTTTTTCTTTTTAATTTTCAGCTCTGAGATCTGAAACTTGTGTAACCAGATGCCTCTTAATCTAAATCTGCGTGGCATTTAGATTGATTTGGTTTTGAAATTAGAAGGTTGCTCTCTTTTGTGCTTTGTGTCAAGGCAATTAGTATTTCAGTATTTGAAAGCTAACTATAAGTGATAGGACTTGAGATGTACATTTCCCCTTTCGTTATGTTTGCCATTTCTTTTTTCTTTTTAATTTCAACTGAGATCTGAAACTTGTGTATTCGGATGCCATTTAGTTTGATTCGTTTTTTAAAAGCTCTCTTTTGCCATGTGTAAAGGCAAGTAGTGCATTTTCCAGTAATTGAAAGTTACTGCTCAGTGCTCACTGCTAGCTAAGGTTCCGTTTTGTTAGCTGTGATTATGAAAATCGTGATCTCATAATTACGAACTAATGATGATTATTTGGCTATAGATATCAGTGTTTTTTTTATAAATATGATCAAATTTAAAATAGTTTAACGGTAACTAGAATGTCAAGATTTTTAAGACAGTATAGAATAATAGATAGATATGGTTAAGTTTCTTCCGGACATGGATATCTATGTTTGTTGGTTAAACCCATTATATACTCTACCCAACGGTGGGAGCAGGGCGGGGTGGAAAATGAATATTCTGGGTCAAATTTCTAGCATAAAAGTAGGTTGTATGAATCGCTGAAGTGGTGTATCGATGGGAATTTCTAAAACATTCTAATCGGCGTATAAACGTGCATTCTAATCGGTGTATAAACGTGTTTTATTTTTTTTTTGTAAATCAACAATATGGTATATAACTAGCATGAATGTAACATACATTGATGTTGAATGCATTTATGCTATGCATTTGTGCTGGTTGCATATTATATTTTTTCATTGTGATACATTTTTAAAACACGTTCATACATCAAGTATAATGTTTTAGGAATTTCCAAGATTTTTCTGGAATTTTTTTTATTTTCTAGAGCTAAATATTTTTTTTGAAACATCAAATTTTATGAGATCTAAATATTTTTATTTTAATTTGACACATCCCAATCTATCTTTAGGAATTTTTTTCGTTTTTTTAAAGCTTAAAGATAATTTGTGTGGTTAAAAACCTTATCAAATATTTATTGATTTTTAACTAAAAATACAAAAACACCATATTTAAAATTACTACAAACCATGAGAAGGAGGTAATTGGAATGATTTTGAAAGTTTGTATAGGAGACAAAATATCTGTTTTTATTTATCAACTTTTCTCTACTCCTAAAAAGAGTAAACCGGACCCGTTCACTGTCACCGTGGTGAAGCCGCGACGCCAAACGCGCCTCGCCTACGATTTTTTTTTGGCGCCGACAGGTGGGACCACCGCCCAGGACCTCTCCCCCGCGTGCCTCCCCACCCCGCGCCCCCACTCTTCGTCCCTCCGTGGCTCCGTCGTCCTCCCCTCTGCCGCTCTACGGCTCTGCCCTCAACTCTCCCGCCACCAAGATAGCTGCCCTCGTGGGCGAGGTCGCCGCCGAGCGCCAACGAGGCCACTTTCCATGGAGATGATCCCCTTGCGCGCTTCCCAGCACCCGGTGCCCTCGTGCTCCATGGATCTGGCGAGGCAGCAGTGGTGGAACGGCTATTCCTATTCCAAGTTGGATCCATGGAGGAGGTGGGACACGTTAGCTCCTGCATAGGAGGATGACAGGTCCTGTGATGTCAGCTGCTGCATAGAAAGACAGGTCCTGCGATGTCCTGTGGCGACGGGGCACTGATTGTGGTCTCCGGTAACGCTGGCGCCGTGGCCCGCTTCGACAATCTGCCACCTGATGCAGAGTCTAGGCTCAGGTCTTGCGTCCTCCGAGCGGGGTGCGTGTGGAGAGGATGCAAGCCATGATGCGCAGACTTGTGATTTGTTCATGACGGCCGCCATGCGTGTGCAGGTAATGTGTTTGAGAAAATGTGCTCTCTATTCTATTCAGCAGCTCAGTGCTATCTATTTTTGTGGCATGATTCAGTGTCATCTATTTTAGATCCTTTTGGATTAGTGCTACTTTTCTTAACAAATGGTTTGGTGTCATCTATCAGGCACTGTTCACAAAAAAAAAATTAAGGCACACATTGCTTCCATTCAGAATGCCTGTTGGAAAAAAAAATTGATCTTGCATTGCCCGCAATTACAACTTGGGAGGTATGTTATGTCTTTGGCACTTTCCTTCTTTGTGGTCATAGCAGAGTAGTCGTTGTGTCTAAACTGGTAAAGTGATGGATGTTGTGGCATTTAGGTGACCCTTCTGACATGGTTCTTTGCTGCACAAATCAACTTGATCAATGCAAATTTACATGTTACATGTGAGACCACTTGCCACCACAATTCTGTCTCTAAATGACTTTATTGCAGCCTTCTCTATTCTGTAACATGTGAATTACAAGATTGCTTATGGACACATTGGTTTTCATCTACGTATCCTGTCTTTAGATATTGCAATCCAGTTGAGCTTACCGGGACAGTTTAGTGCCTTTGTCATGACCTACATTATTTGGATTAATTGTTCATCCATCTGATAGAAGTTTGCATCTATGGACATGGATCCATGTGCATTTTTTTCTCTTATTTAATACCACACTTTTTTGCTTATTAGCATGATCAATTTTCTCCAGCCTTGTCCCTTAATTTTGATTGATCTGAACTAATCATTTATAATATCTGATCACCAGGACAAGTTCTGGAGAAGGAGGCAGCCGACACTGGAGATGAAACATCCTTTTTCCAGACATGGACTTCTTTGCTAGGGCCAGCGGCTAAGCGCCGTGGCATTTTTGGAATTTAGGGTGTTGAGATATAGGGGAACTGCTGAGGGAGAAAATATTTAGTGTAGATTTATGTTTAGGACACCGAGGGTCTCAAGTTCAGGGATTCTCTTGGAGATGCTCAAATAGAAGACTTCCACAACGTGTAACCTTTTTTGCAAGAAGAGTTGGTAGTTAGGGCCAAACTTAGCAAGTTTTTCTTTTGGACATATTCATCCTTTTGGTCATGCGTATTCATCGTCCTTAATCTGGAAAAATCTTCCATTTTGGTCATGTATATTTATCATCCTTGATCTGATAAAATCTTCCATTGTTTCTGGGTAAGAAACACTCGTGAGCAGTTTGTAAAATACAATGATAATTTACGCTTGCAACTTAACTTGGTTTCCCATACCATTTTGGCTCAACTCTTTGCATATTCTAGGATGATTATATACCTTCGCAATTAATTGAGAGAGACATCTTTGGTTGTGCTATAGGATCCCTTAACTATTCATCACATGTGTTGGATTATAGTATTTTGTTCAATTTTTATGAGCCCGTAGCAACGCACGGGCCATTAGCTAGTTAACTAAAAAGATAAAACCATCTTCTAAATCACTCCTTAACTAAAAAGATAAAACCATCTTCTAAATCACTCCAATTCTCCAAACGATGAGGAGGTAATTCGAACGGTTTTGAAAGTTTGTATAGGAGATAAAATATCTGATTTTTAGAGTTTAAGGAGAAAAATCAAACTACTACGATAGTTGGGAGAATAATTTTTTTTTAATTTACACGAAAGTGGTCATCATCGCAATCTGCCGATCTCATCCAGATCTTGCACTAGGCCTGCAAACCAGCCCAGTTGGCGTCCTTCAAACTGGCCCATCCAAATCCTACAGGCCCAAATTATTCTGTTGTCCTCTCTTTGGTCTCCCAAGTGCCTCTTCGATCCTCGTCTCTCGTCGAACTCGAGCACGCCGCCGGCAGGCGGCAGGAGAGAGCGCCGGAGCCAGAGAAGCCAGCGGCCAGGGTATTCCGGGGAGGCGAGGGAGCGCTGTGAGGGCAACAGTCTAACAGATACGTACGAGAAGTGAGGTGACTCCCATAAATCCTACCATTTCCCAAATATTCCTTTGTTTCGACACCTTTAATTTTTTTTCCTCTTTCTGGAAAGGAAATTGCATCTTCACTGCGGTTTGACCTTGCACCCCCTACCGCACCGCCGACAATGGCGGCGAAGGTGCGGTTCGGCCTCCTGGTGGCGATGTTCAATGCCATGTTGGGCGACAAGAGATCAGCGAAGAAGCGCAGCCGCCTGCGCGCGTTCCTCGACCGCGCCTACGTGCCCAGCGGCGGTAGGGATGACTATTTCAGCGCGCTCCGCCTCGTGCTCCCGGGGCTCGACCGCGAGCGCGGCACCTATGGGCTCAAGGAGGCGGCCCTCGCCGCCGTGCTTGTCGACGCCCTTGGCATCGCCAAGGACTCTACCGACGCCGTCCGGCTCACCAACTGGCGCCGCGGCGGGGGCGGCCGCAACGCCGGCAACTTCGGGCTCGTGGCCGCTGAGGTATTGTGTGCTGGTAGCTCTGCAATAGCACTTACAGAGTCCCCAACCTCAGATTCTCTGTAGTTAAGCCTTGCTATCTCGCCCTTGTCAGACAACAATATGAATTTTGTTCAGTTGCTAATGTGAACCTGTGAGCATTAGTTCAGCTCAGTTTTAGGTTGGTTTCAACGTAGTATGTGTATGAATTCGGCAAACAGCATAAGCTCTAGCCACTGAGTATTAGTTCAGTTGCTAATTTGAGTTGTGTCCTTGGCATTTTGTCTCAACATGTCCATATGTTCATGCTCAGCGAGTTAGCGTTTGTCACTGGGTCAAGCAATCTTCGTGTTTGGTGCACACCATGTGCCAATAATCTCCCCCTGCTTAGAAATGCAGAATCTGTCTTGATCTTTATTTGGTTTCACATGATTGGATGGGTTTAATTTAATATGTAATTCAAAAGTTTGGTTCAGTTCA